GAAATGGTTGAGAACAGTTCCATGGACGACTAAGCTCATGAGCTGCAGTGGATGGCAAAAGAACTCGAGCTCCTTAAGTGTGTTACTTGACATGTTTGTTGTCAAGAGCATTGTTGCTAAGCTTCCTCCTTTATGAAGGAACTTCTCCAGTTCTCTAAAACACCAGAGACAAGAGATACAAGTTGAGAGTCTCATTGGATCTTTAGATGTTGAAGAGAAGTCTAGGGCAAAGGACACACGAGCTAAAGTAGCAGAGGGGCATTCTATCGCCAATGTTGTGCAAAAAAGGCCCACAAATTCAAGGGAAATAGCAAAGTATTCAAAGATACCACTCCAAAAAGTAGAAGGGACGAAAGGGGCAAAACAGGGAGAAGAGTCCTTGTTGGGTTTACGATGCAAAGGATAATTGGGTTCCCCAATACAAACCACCATGGCTAGGCAAAAGATCATGGATGGTTGATATTAAATTTACTTTGAGAAAGATCGTGCGATTGAAGAATGTGTAGTATGTCTGTACTGTCAAGAAGAATCTGATTTGTGAATCTGGGTTTAAGGATGTGTCTACTGTCTAATGGAACTTTTACTGAAAAACGATATGAGCATGGAGGCTCGTTTTGTCTCTCGTTGGGAGACTTCTATAATGAAGGCGGAACACTTTGAGTGATCGAGTTCGAGTTCGGGCTAATATTACACATCTTTTTGGAAAAACTAAAATGTTGCATGGCAGTGTTCCGTCTTGCTCTAGATTTACGTGTCATTACTTGATGTCATTGTGGACACAGTGTTCTATTTTCAGAGAGTTCTTGTACCGGATCTCTTCATTCTCCTACATGTTCCCTCTATGTAAAAGCAACTCTAGTAGACCCCGCATCCCGCCCCGACCCGCAAAATAACCGCCAAAATGCAGGTCGGGGCAGAAAAACCAGCCTGATCAGACCCTGCATTCCGCCCCGGCCCGCAAAAAATTTTAGGGGGCGTGGCAAAATCTCAACCCCAACCCGGGAAAATACGGGTTTCCCCCTCGCTGCTGCGGTGCCCTGCATATAAGTGGAAACGGTTGGTGGGGGGGGGGGCATTTCATCCCACGCTTTCTCCCACCAACCACCTCTCCTCTCCCGGAAGGCCGCCACGCGCACGAGGCCTCCCCTCCCTTCCCCCCTGCATCGGCGGGCCGCCGTATTTGCAGATCTGCGACACTTCATCGCGGGCCGCCGGATTTGCCTTTTTCCGGCTGCCGGTTGCTGCCCCAGGCGATGGAGTGGTCGGGGAGCCTCTCCCGCAACCCAGGCAAGGGCGCATCGCCGCATGCAGGCACGGGTTCGTCCGCCCGCTGCTGCCGAAGGTTTGCGGGCATGGACTTGTCCGGCCGTCCACCGGGCTCGGCGCTCGCGCAACGTCTTTGTGGCCTGCCGATGCTGCTCATAGAGTGCGACGACTGCCCGCGCCAAGTGCTGCGACTCACTTCGGGCACGCCGAAGCACCCCGGATGGGTGTTCTACAAATGTGAAAACGACGGGGTACGTGCACTTGCGATACCTCGTTCCATAGCTCATTCTTTAGTTCAACTGCGGTAGCTCACTTCGAGCTTGCTCAATGTTTTGTATAGGACGATAGATGCTCATTTTGGTTTTGGGAAGGCCAATACATTGAATTGTTGATAGAAAGAAACTTAATAGATGTTAGTGCACTCCTTAGTACAATCGAAGGCAATGATGCGGCGGCATGTCCAACTAGAGGGGAAGCAACATCTACTTCTTTGAAACCAAAGATGAAGAATGAAGAAAGCAAGATCAAGAACCCGCGCATGGAGAAGGTATTGCTCCAACTAGTGGGAGCAGTTATGGAAGTTGGAAATCTTCTGAAATGCATACTTGTGGTTCATGTTTTCTTTGGTTTTGCTATTCTAGTCAAGATTTGGTGATATCTTTTGTATCTAATGTTGTTGCAAAAGCAAAGAAAAGCATTATGCTAAATCAATTTAAGTTGCAAATCTAAGTTTTGCGGATCGGGAGGAGCTGCGCCAGATCAGAACCCACGGAAGCCGAACCCGTAAAAAAGCATATTCCACAAATATGCTTTTATACAGGTCCATTATACGGGGTCTGCATCTGTGTCAGCCTACGTCGGCTCGTAAAAACGGTTTTACGTGAACTGCAAACGCATTTTGCGGGTCGACGGGATGCGGTGTCTGCTAGAGTTGCTCTAAGAAGGTCCAAAAGAGGCACTACGCAGAACACATACTCTGGCGGAGTTCCTAGTGCGGAGCTGCTTCTCCGGCGACCCCGCGACATCTACTCCTACTTACCAACAACTCCGTCGAGTATCACTAAACTTTGTGGATATATAATTGGCTGGTGTTCTTTTATTTGGCAGTGTACTAGACGGGGCTCGAGCAAAGCAAGGCAGCCATGTCGACCCCGCCAAGTTGCGATCCATCGAGGCCACCACTTGGCCGCGCGCGTAGTGGCAGCGCACGCACGAGAGACCGCGTGCGGTCAGACGAGATCGTGCCGGCCATGTCGTGCGCCGGGCCGCCGCCCCAGTCCGGGCGGCGCGGCCGGTCCTGGCGGTTGCGCCCGATCCAAATCTTGGACGGTTAGGTCACATGGAAGAGCACAAAATCCCAGCGGCAACTTGCCATGATTAACAAGCCTAGTTTTACCAAAAATAATGAGTATACTGGCTTAAACAAAGATGAATTGGGATTTGGGGGACATGCAGGCCAGATTCAGGTATACGCGAGTCTGTGAGACCGCGACCCACTTGAGTCCGGAGAGAGTATATTAAAGCTACTCTACCATGGCCCGGTTGATATGCATAATATATACAGTTGAGTTGAAAGAACATGAGAGCTTGCAACTGGAGCATCTTGTGGTCGTCACATCACATCAATAGTAGGTGCGTGCTTTCTTGTGCTGCTGTTGACTTGCCAGAATATTCTATGTTCCTCCCCTTGATTAGAGTAATCTCTGATCTTGGTGGTTAAGTCCGGTCCAACATGGTCAGCTGAAGGCAATTAATAGTGGCACACAGACAGACAGCCGTTCGACCGCCGCGCGGCGCCGCCCACTTAGTGGCTTAGCTAATTAACAACAACGTGCATGTGTTAACGTGAGTACTTAACTAGTACGTAGTAACTGGTTAGCAATTGGAACGGACAAACAGAGCACATACGTGAGCCGCATTGGTAAAAACTAAAAAATGGAGACCACTAGTATAACTCGTAGAGTACTGTACACGACACATCGATCTCTGACTACTGTGAATTTTCTCTCGTTCAATCGATATCAACTTGGACCGATCCCAATGTATGTACCAGTACTACATGCATGCACATTCTGGCCGGCAGGATCGTGGATGCTAAGCTAGCTAGCAGTAAACATCAGACATCCATGATACATCCATGTGGCAGCTGCAAGCTACGAGACGACGTGCATGCATGGGACAGAAAATCAACGTCCATTGTATGCGTGAGAAAGGAAAACGTAGCCGGGCATCAATACGCACGCAGCGAACATAACTGACGATCTGCCGTGAGATATCTTGCCGGGTATGGAGACCAGCCCGAGCCGAGCTCACATTGATGCATCTATCCACGATGTTCGTCGGATACACACACATAACACATTGATGCTCTCGCGCGCGGCTGACGCGGACGGGGTCCCCGCGCGCGGCGCCGGGGGTGCCGAGATAACCGACCGATCAACCTCCGGGGAGTCGCCGGCACATGGCGGCACATGTGATCCTAGCCAACCATCGCCAGTTCCAATGTCACCCCTCCCCTCACCTGCATTGCCGTCCCAAGGAAGATCTGCAAGATCTCCAACCCAATATTCTATGACCTCATCTCTCATCTCTCCATTGGTTGTGCCAATCATCCACACACTAGATTATTTCGAAATAAACTTAAACAATCCATACATATATATACTAGTAGTACTACATGGTAGTAGAAGGCTCTGACTCTGCTGATAATTTTAAGCAATGATTTGGTAGTCCACAACTCTTATTAATCAACATGATCTTCCCTGGCTTGCTTGGTCCATAAGAAACAAACTGGTACAGGAGCATCTTTTTCTTCTTAAGAAAGTTCATTTACGTGTAGTTTTGTGAGTCCAACCACAACATACTCAATGTGAGTTCTTTCTGTGTGGATGCATACTTGGACGACAGCACGGTACAAGAAGTTAATGTGTGGTTTGTAGTTATGCACTCTGGCTCATGTGTCATGTGCCCCTGTTGCCAATTTGCAACGCATAGTGGTAGCCCACTCGCGAGCCCCGGTTTGCAGTTAGTCTGTTATGGGTCGGCTAGCGTCTCGTGATCTCTAGTCCTCGCATTAATTGGCATACGATCATGGCAATATGATATGATGCTACTCCATGAGAAAGATATATGGCCTGCCCTAATCATGCATTGATGCATGTGGCCCTACGTAAGATATCATGCTGCTGCTGCTGCTGCTCGCCCTCGCAGATGCTCCCCACCAGAAATAACTGCCAACGGCCAATACCTACCGGCCGGTCTATGCTTCAATTGTTCTTTACTTCCCATGCATACGCAGCTCCTCCACTCCTACGAACGAACGTATACCTTCCTCTACAGCATTTGCCTTCCCGGACGTTTGCATCGACAATGGTTGCATAGGCATAATTAACATGTGTCGCCGAGATGCAGAGGCCGGGGTCATCCTTCTTTTCAAAAAAAAATATAGAAGTACGAATAGTAGTTAATATTGGCGGTGTTGCCTAAATATATATCGATTGGTACTCTAGTGGCGCATGCCGTTTTGCTTTTGTTTGGTTGTTTCATTCTGAAATGTCCGAATCAACGACGCCGATGTTCAGCATACAAGGACGCGAAACTTGACTGCTGGATCTAGCACGTATTACATGTGGCTTCTGCTGCAGAACAGAAACTGGACTGCCGACCAGCTACAGGCGAGAGGATGGCCACATAACGCCTCTTGCAAATTTTGTGACCAGGAGCAGGAGATCGCGATGCATCTCACGCTTCAATGCTGTTATGCAAGAGAGGTCTGGCATCTCTCCCTTGGTGCCAACAGCAGGATGTACAATGGTGTGTCTTCGGCAAGTTCAGTTTCAGATTGGTGGAAGATGCTTTGTACGCAAAGAGGAGCACCAGCAAGGACGGAGGAAGAGATAACTCTGTCGGCGTACATCGCCTGGCATCTATGGAAGGAGAGAAACCGTCGAGTTTTTGAGGATAAGGACCTGACACCGAGGGCGTTGGTAAACATGATTCGTGATGACGTTACATTGCTCAGTGAGGCTTTGAGACCTACCCATACGGCAGAGGGGTAGTGCATGTTCTTCAGGAGTGCTTTCCGATAGGCAACTGTATATGTTTGTGTTCGTTTTATGCTCGGGGTGCTTAACACCCCTCCCTATACTTTGTACTTTTTCCCTTCACTATAATGCAAAAGCAGAGCTCCTGCTATTCCCGTCAAAAAAGATCTAGCACGTATTTGACCACTGACAAGGGAATGGGGCCATACACGTATGTCCTCATATGCAATTGGCCCAAGACGTTACATAAATTCCAACTCATGCAAGTTGCTGCACTAGCTTGCTAGCTACTGTAACCTAATGGCGGGGTACTGGCTGCCCTATGTGTGGCAGCCCGCACACATCATGACATCAAACAAATTGTCCATGTAGCTCTCGATCTGCCACCACGTGCATGGCCTGTGGGTGGGCGGTAGTATTCGCGACCACTTCTACGATGTGTGTGGGTGCAGAGGCGGAGGCAGCATTTCTCCAAGCATAGGGCTAAAACTAAGCAACTATAATGCCAAATATCAATGGAGAAAAAAATACATCAAATAAATGCCAGATACCACACATCTTGGATTTCTACTTTTTTTTTATTAATGAATAAAAATGAAACAAAATTGACTAAAATAATTTCATGTACCGTCACCAAATCATTGATTTCAACTGGTACAAAGGAATTAAGAAAAATATTAGTTGATACAACAAACAAGAGATTACATATTTTACCCATCCAATCAGTTGTTGAGAAGGAGCAGAATGGGAGCAGAAACAGGAGGAGGGGCCTGCTCCAACGACCTGAGATGATCCAATATTTCAAAGCGAGATGATTCGACGAGTCGAAGGTTCGAACGTCCGGTTTCGAGCAGGAAACGCCTGGGGCGGCGCAGCTTGCCAACGATGAACCCTAAAAAAAATAGAAACATTAGCGATAGAACTCACCGTCGTGCGTTGTGGGAGCATAATTAGGCTGAGAAGCTACCTGGGCTGACACATGGGGCTGGAGCTGGGTCAGAACGCCTGGGGCTGGGCCTCTGGAAGGGTACAAATCTAAAAAAAATCATATTGGATGTTTAGGGCTACTTGGGCCACGCTTGGGGCTATAGCTCTAGTTGCCCCAGGCCCAGTTCCACCCCTATGTGGGTGTCGTGTCTCTCTTGGGGTGTTGTTGTGGTATCCTTTCTGTGTCGGGGTTAAGGGTAAATACCCTAGTTTGTGGTTTTGGTGTCGGCAATAGTGGCGTGTAGCATCGTCAACCTTTTGAAGTTCTCGTTGTGGAGCCCAGGTACCTTCAGGCCATGGCATCTTCGGGCGACTTTGGATTCTGGCTCGAAGCTTCTTCACATCTGGCGTGGTGCAGTCTCGCTTGCCTCCTACCTTTTGCTTGTTACTTTGTTATCACCGTTCGCGGTCCTCGTTGTTCGTAGGCTGGATGGACACTCAGTCAGTAGTGAGAGGGTGGTGTGGCACTCTCCGGCGGCAGTTTGGTGGGAGCGGTGCAACGATGTCCGATGGTTTCCCAATGAGGTATGGTTTCGCTCATCATCGCTGATCTTGGGTGCTTCTTGTTGGGATGTGGCTACTCCCATGCTCATGCTTGGCTTGAGTTGGTGGCGGTCAGTAGTGCATATGTGCACTGCTATTTGTTTCATTGTTTTTTGTTGGTGTTTTCTTTGATCTCCTTTGTAAGAGCAACTCTAGCAGATGCACTATATTCAAGACCCGCAAAATCGTTATACGCGCCACCCGTAAAAATATTTGCAGTAGCGCAAGGGCTTCGGCGGAACCGATAATGTAAACTCGTATCGTAAATTGTCTGCGGTACGAGTTTTTCTACTCCCGTAGGAGTCGTCGGGTTTACCCAAAGAGGAAGGGTGAGTAGATAGAAGAATTTTTTTCTCTTATTTAAGAACCAAGGTTTATCAAACTAGCAAGAGCTTCCAAGCTATTAAGATAAAGAGCACCCTCACACAAATAAAATAAAAAGTTGCACCCATCATGGCAAGAAGATTGTCAAGCCCCTTGTCTTGCCAGTTACAAGATTAAAAACACATAATAGATAGATAATAGTGATGTGCAACGGCAAATAAAAAGAGCAATTTTTATAGAAGAATTTATCAATGGAGAATAGACCCTGGGACTATAGGCTCACTAGTGGCATCTCTCTCTCTCAAAAGCACGTGAATGGCATGGTAAACAAATTACAGTTGGACAACTCAAAAGATTACAATATTTATGACTATGATCATTCATGGCATATTCTCATATAGGCATTACGTCTGTGATAAGTAGACCATTACTCCAAGTGCATCTACTACTAATACTCCACCCGAAAACTGTTATCCAGCATACATCTCAAGGTATCAAGTTTACAAGAAATAGAGTATCACAATAAGAAAGATTAGATAACGTAGACATGAAGAAGTCAATCAATATGACAAAACCCTATCCTTTTATCCTTAGTGGTAACAATACAATCCGCGTCTTGGCCCTTACTGTCACTGGTCAGAGCACCACAAGATTGAACCCACTACAAAACACCACTCCCGACAAAGAAAAATTAATCGAACTTGGCCAAAGAAGATAGATAGATCAGGGAGCAATACAAAGCTATATAATTATGTGATAACAAAACTCAAATATTTTCATTGTATTAATGAATAATCTGATCATAAAGTGACAATTCATCATGCCCCAACAAACACACCGCTGATTACATCGAATTGATCTCGATGAAGAACAAGAACATGGTATTGAAGATCAAAAGGAGGGAGAGAGAGAACCATCTAGCTACTACTATGGACCCGTAGGTCCTAAAGGAACTACTCACACATGGTCAAGGAGGCAACAAGGTTGATGAAGATAGCTTCAGCAATGGCTTCCTCCTCCGGTAGGGCTTCGGAACAGGGTTCCAGATGAAATCTCTTCGGTACAGAGGCTTGCGGCGGCGATAAATTCTTCTGAATGTACGATAGATGGTTTCAGTATTAATAGGCATCTATGGCAAATGAATTAGGTCAAGGCGGTGCTTGTGGGCCCCACACGGGCAAGGGGCACGACCACCCCTAGATGCGCCACCTGTGGTATGGGCCCCTCATGGCTCGTCTTGATCTCTCCCGAAGCTTCCTGTGTTTCTTTTCGCCTAAAAAAATCGTGTTAAGTCGGCAACGTAGTTGACCTCCATAGATACTAATTTTCTATGATGAAAAAACAAGCTGAAAATAGAAACTGACACTGGACACTAAAGTAATATGTTAGTTTATAAAATAATATAAATTGCTATCGAAAGTATATAAAAGTGATAATATAATAGCACGAAAATTGTAGATAGGTTTGAGATGTATTACTTTACACGATCTGTTCCGTGCTGCAGCCATCCCGGTACTGCAAATATTTTTTAGGCAAATAATTTTGCTTTATTTGATCTAGAATTCATATTGATGCATGACATTATATAAATAGGCATGATGCAATAGTTCACATCCAAAATCGTGCGCAATATCAAGAGGTAGTAAGTTTGACCCTATGAATGTGCAATCAAACAGAATAAAACATGATCAAGCACAACCGGCTTTGATCAAATCAGCCAACATCATTGTTGCCAAGATCGTCGCCACCACCACTAGCCATAGCATCACAAGTACCATCTTCATCAACATTGGCCGAAGAATGATCACTTTTCCAACCACCACCATCTTCATTGGCTAGAGCATCAACACCACCACCATTGGCTGGAGCACCACCACCTCCATAGCCAAAAGCTTCACCACTACCACCACCACCACCTCCATGCTGGGAAACATAGGAGCAAACAAAAAAAATTCGGCCTACGATAAAGATCCAATGATCACTATGATGATTTGCATACAATATTAGATCAAATTGTTACCAGCTTCGAGTTGCAGTGGAAGAAGAGTTCACATAGATCAAACATGAAGTCCCTCGTACCGTCCCATGAACGATCCCTTGAACAAGCACCAAAGGCACGATGCCTCTACGGATTGCACACGTATCGAAGTAGTGGTTCAGCAGAGCATCATCGTCCAGTGCTAAGAACCGTTGAGAAAACAGGAGGGAGAAGTAGCCTAGCTATGTCGGCATTTATATCAACTAGATACAAGAGAGAAACGGGGCTCGAGGCAGCAATGGAACAACGTCCTGACCCCGTCCCTCTGTATATATGTTGAGGCCTAGGGTCGCAACTTGGGGAGGGGGCCTGCCCAAAGAAGTTTTGGATCACAAGTGAGAGTCCTCCTCAGATTCCAACACGAAATGCCACGGATCCTAGCGTCTCCATAAAAGCCAAAGACTCTCGCATCTAGCCCATGGGGAAATGCCAAGGACCCTGGCTTCAGGCCCCTGCCTTCCAAGCAACCCCTTTGTGCACCGACCTCAGGCCTCGTGGGCTTTACTACTTGGCCCTTCCAAGGTGTCCTTGCACCAAGAACCCTTTGGATTTATTTGGATGGTTTTGCAACCTCCCGGGACCTCTCAAAACATCTGTAACATTTCCGGAACAACCCGAAACTCATTTGGCACCCACTCTCTCATTTCTCATTTAAATCTTAGTTCTCTAACAAACTACTAAGTGTTAAGTGTGTGACCCTGTGGGTTCGGTGAAATAGACATGATCGAGAACACCTTTCGACCAATGATCAATAGTGGAACCATGGACACCCGTATTGACCCCTATACTCACACGAATGATATTCGAGTGGAACTTTGGTTACCATATGTTAGTCCTTTTGCTTCGCGATACTTTACAAACCCGAAGTGAGATATATCGGTATTCCCGTGAGACTAAAACATGTTCACTATACCAATCTCCTTGTTATCAGTTTTGTTCTCTTTTTTCGTTCTCGTGTTCCGGCATCCCCGTGATCATTTCACGCTTTATATGGCCAGTCGATGACGGAGGTTGAGGGAGTCCTGGATTAGGGGGTGTTCGGATAGCCGGACTATACCTTCAGCCGGATTCCTGGACTACGAAGATACAAGATTTAAGACTTCGTCCCGTGTCTGGGAGGGAC